ATGTGTTCTATCATTAAGTCATGGCACTGTAGATTGTATTCCTGACTTCATTCTTAACATTAGTCTGTTGGATTTTGTTTGTTTGTTTGTTTGTTTGTTTTTAAAGATGACAGGTTGGGGCCGGCCCGGTGGCGCACTGGATAAGTGCGCCGATTGGGAAGCGCGGCGGCGCTCCCGCCCGAGGGTTCGGATCCCACATACAGACCGGTTCCCGCTCACTGGCTGAGCGAGGCACGGGAGCAACACCAAGGGTTGCAATCGGTCCCCGGTCCGGTACGGGGGCAATCCGTTGCGATCCGTTGCCGGACACGGAAAAAGACAAAAGACACAAAAAAAAAAAAGATGACAGGTAAGGGGATCTTAACCCTTGACTTGGTGTTATCAGCACCACGCTCTCCCAAGTGAGCCACAGGCCGGCCCTAGTCTGTTGGATTTTGAAGTAAAATTTTGGGAAATTTTAGAAATTCAGAACTGAGCCACTAGAATTAGCTAAGTCAAAGAAAAGAGGGATAGCAAAGAGCTGAAAAAAACAATTCCCATAAACACCCCTTTAGATTTGCATGTCACAGATATTTTTTCTCAGCCACATCAACAGCCCTTTGAGATGGGTAGTTCAGGTGTTGATGTCCATTTTTACAGATGGGGTTGAAGGGCTAGGTAAAGATAGTAAGTGCTGGAGCTGCTGTGGAAACTGTGGTCTTCTGCCTGCTAGATCAGTCCCTTTGCAACTCTTCCATGCAGCTTCTCCTGTTGTAGCCAAAACAGCACAAGCCTTCTAAGGAGGCCACAAGAAATGTGGGCAGCTCCTGGCAACCCAAAACATGAGCTTCAAGCAGTTCCTGCTGTGAAGTTCTCTACACCTTACTAGAGAATAGTGATTAGGAGCAGGCACTCTGGAGCCAGAATTCCTGGGCTAGAATCCCAGCTCCATGACTTACTGCTGTGGCTTTGGGTATGTTATTAACTTCTCTGTGCGTCAGTTTCCTCATCTGTACAATGGGGATAATAGTAGTACCCACTTCATAGGATAGGTGTTTTTTTTAACGGTCAAAGTTTTGGGGGAGTTTTTTTGGCAGCTGGCCAGTACAGGGATCGAAACCCTTGATCTTGGTGTTATCAAGCATGGTGCTTTAACCAAGTGAGCTAACCGGCAGCCCTGTTTCTGTTTTTGTTTTTTAAGGAGAATAGGTACTTTAATTAATAAAAGTAAAATGTTTAGAACAGGGCCTGGCACACAGTAAGCACTTAAATCTTAGGTATGATTCATGACAATTTCCCTTTGGTAGCCAGACAAAAATATTTAAGAAGTAGAAACTGTAACAATATTTAGTGTCTACTGTGTGGCAATACTTTGCATCTCCTCAATACTTTGCATCTCCTCATACAACTCTCAAACAACAACCATGGGAGCAGGACTTTGTGTTCCCATCTTATAGACAAGTCGAAACTCAGAAACTTGAAATCATTTGCCCAAGGTCACTTAACTAATATATGACTGAGCTAGGACTTGAACCTAGGAATGTCTAACTCTAAAGGTATGATTAAATTCCTGATATTTATGTTTCTTACTCACTTTCCCTGACACTGGTACCCCCATATTCCAAAGGGAGAAGTGAGAGCCAAGTGCATAGCCACCAGGATAGAACCCAGGTTTTCTGAAGCCCATAGCGCCCTTGCCTAGAATAGGCCATAGCTGCTCCCAGAAAAGGCTGGAGTAGAAGAAACAGCTGGTTGTATATTGGCCTCCTCTCTGCCTCTCCTCACATTCCCATGGCCCAGGCATGTTCAGTAGTCTTAACACGCTGCTCTCCCCTAGAGTGACTGCACCAAGCTGTTCAGCCAGGGCATTGGAGGGGAGCAGGCCCAGGCCAAGTTTGACAGTTGCCTTTCTGACTTGGCTGCCGTGTCCAACAAATTCCGAGATCTCTTGCAGGTAAGCCCCAGGTTCAACTGCTGATGGAATCCTATTCCTGTGTGGTGTTCTGAGAAGTTTGTTAACTGGCTTATTGTGGGCCCCACTGTGTACAAGGTAATGTGGAGGAGGGGTGAGGGAGTAGCATGCAAGCCACTGAAGCTGTACAAGTCCCTTGAGACTAAAGGCCCCGTTGGTTTTTCAGCAGCGCAGTTGCCACATTGATAAGCCAGGGTCTTGTCCTCTGAAGTCTCCACTTAGCCCCCACAGTGACAAGAGCCCTCAGAAAGGTGCTCAGAGGAAATGGAACATGGCTATTCTAACCTGCTGCTTGGCCTAGCACCAGGCACTTTGAAATCTCTTCTTTTGAGAGTTTACCAGAACCACATCAGGGCCTCGTCTCTATCCCAGATCTGAATCAGCATACAGTTGGAAAGGGACCCATTGTTTCTGGCTTCTTTGATTAGGTTTGTCTTTGTTATACTTCCGACAGGGCCTGCAGAATGCCACAGAGCTCGCAGAATGCCTGTAGTCAAGGGATGGATGGAGAAGAAAGGGAAGGGATGGGGGCAGGGTGCCTCCTGTGTCTGATGTGTCTCTACCTTGTCCTTGTGCAGGAAGGACTGACAGAGCTCAACAGCACAGCAGTCAAGCCGCAGGTGCAGCCTTGGATCAACACCTTTCTCTCCGTCTCCCACAACATCGAAGAGGTTGGCCTGACTGCAGGCAGCCATCAAGCCCGGGCTTATCCTGCACCCCTCAACCCCCAGCTGGAGGGCAGTGGAGCCATCTGAACAGACTAGACCTTACATGCTTCCCAGGCCCGCTTCCCTCACCCTCAAAGACTAGGTTCCTCCCAGGAAACAGTGGCTTCCTGCAGTCAGAAGGTCTCAGAGGACACCTGAAGGGACTTTTGTCTTGACTCGTTCCCTTTTATTGAGGCTCTTCTTGCCCACCTATTATAGAGTAGAGCTTTTTTCCCCTAGCCTAGTAAATTCATTCCTGTAGAAAATGAGATGCAATAGGGAATAAAATGCCAGGAGCCTTACTACATTATGTTGGCCACTGCTACAGCCCAGGGCTCTTTGCTGGATGGAAATGTGATCCAGGAAGTTTCTGCCGGCCTGGGTGTCCAAGCTAGTTTTATGCTAGATGAGTCAGAAGCTACAGAGGAGGAAGGAGCTCTTACATTATTTTCTTAGAGCGTAGAGGTGGGGTGAGTATGAATGGTACTTAGAAAGAGGCCCATGGTGACCTTACTACATGGTGACCCACCTTGCTTCCTGACAATAGGAAGAATTCAACGACTATGAGGCCAACGACCCTTGGGTACAACAGTTCATCCTTAATCTGGAGCAGCAAATGGCAGAGTTTAAGGTGAGTGGAGGCTCTAGGGGTCACCTAGAGGTGATTATGGAATCACCCACCTCTGCTCAAACCAGCAGCTTACAGCTTCTCATCACACTCCTGGTGGAGACCCAAAGCCCTCCTAACCCTGGCCTGTAGAAACTCCCCCGTGTCCTCATGTAACTATCCCCATACCCTGAAGATTCTGGTGCACAGGCAGAGGGGTTAGGTGGGATTCCTGATGATGTTGAGCTTCTATGTGCAGGTCAGCCTGTCCCCAGTCATCTATGACAGCTTGACCAGCCTCATGACCAGCCTTGTTGCCACTGAGTTGGAGAAAGTGGTGCTGAAATCCACCTTCAACCGGGTAAGGTCAAGGGTGCAAGGGTTCACAGCTCTATCGTTTCTCCTCTGAGGAAGACAAGTCATGCCACCGCAAGATTTGTGTCCCCTCTGTCTGCTTCGTGCAGCCCTGCATATCTAGGTCCAGTCCTGCCCATTTCTGAGGCCTTAGAGCAATTTGAGGCCAGTTCTGCTTGGCCAGAAAGCCAGGCCTTCAACACAGCGACTGGCCCTGTGTTCTCCTGCAGCTGGGTGGTCTGCAGTTTGACAAGGAACTGAGATCACTCATTGCCTACCTTACCACGGTGACCACCTGGACCATCCGAGACAAGTTTGCCCGGCTGTCCCAGATGGCAACAATCCTCAATCTGGAGCGGGTATGTGGGGCTCCCTTGCCCAGCCAGGAAAAAGTGACTGGAAAGAGGTAAAGACAAAATTTCCCATTCCCTCAAAACAATGTCTGCCAGCAGCCTAGCCCTGAGGGGCACCTTCTCCTTCCTGGGTACCCCTGCTCTACCCTCAGTGGAGCCCCGGGCCTTCCCTTAAGAGAGTCCCCGCCTTGCTGACTACGCTGTGTTCTTCTCCACAGGTGACTGAGATCCTAGATTACTGGGGTGCCAACTCCGGCCCATTGACGTGGCGCCTCACTCCTGCTGAAGTGCGTCAGGTGCTGGCTTTGCGCATAGACTTCCGCAATGAAGACATCAAGAGGCTCCGCCTGTAGCTGCCAGCGTTAGTCCACCTGGCCCATCATACCACAGAGCCCATTCTGAGTGGCCACAGCCCAGTTGCTGAGCAAGGCTGTCTGGCTCGGGGGAGCTCTGACAGCTGGCAGCAAGGAAACAAGGCCTGGACTCCATGCTCTGCCCTCAGGCCTAGCTGGGTGGTGCTTTGGGAGCAGCCTTTCCCCACCAAGAGAGGTGGGCTCCTAATTAGGTGGGAAAGCCAAAGCAGGCAGCAGCCAGCTCAGGCCAGCTTTCTGCATGGGTGGTCATTCTCTCACCCTCAAACACTACAGCAAACATGCTGCCCCAGCCAGCCTTAGAGGACTTGGATGCATCTGAAGACCTGGGAATTAGTTTTGACTTTGAGGAGAGGCTGTGATGTTTATGATTCCTGAATAAAGAAAGTCCTTGGAGAGATGCTAGTGTGCTGTTTCCAGGGAGGGCTGGGTGCTATGGGGCAGGACAGATCCGGCAGCAGCACTGAAGGCCTCAGCTTCCTCCTGCACCTGGAATGGTGCACAGCTACCTGCAGGACTCATGTGATAGCAGGAGCCCTTGTCCAATCTTGGACCTTCATCCCTCCTCTTGGGCCTTCAGCACCAGAAGCTGGGTCATCTCAGGGGAAGTAGGAATTGCTCCCAGCAGGAACAAAAGAGAACTTTATGAGGACAACCTTGAAGGACAGTGAATTTATTCCAAGAATGTCACAGTACTGAGAACCCATTGCCCACAGGCACTGAGTCAGTTGGCACAGTCTAGTGTTGCTGGTTAAGGCCCAGGTTGGCAGTGACTTGGCACCAGGACCACACTGGCTCACTGCCACAGACTTGGGAATGGACCCCTACCCTCACTCCCACTCCCCCAAGAGATCTGAGGAATGAGGGTTGAGCATGAAGTCTCTACAACTCTAAGGAAGGCCACAGGAAATGCCTCAAAGGGCCTCTCCAGGGTCAGACTCACCAAGGGCCCTCAGCCATATGGTAAGTCTGGTTGTCATCCGTTCCAACCAGCCCTAGTGGAAAGTGAGAAGGCCAAGGCCCAAAGTGGGCCATGAGATTTATAGAGGCCACATGGGACACTGAGCTGAGGACCTTCTTAAGTCCAGATGGAACAGAGGCTATTCCTAGGTTGCTGTTAGGAGGTCACAGTCCTGTTCCCAAGCAATGTCTCTGCTTGCCCAAATCTTGCTCACATCTCCTTCCTTCAGGAGCAGATTTGCAGAGGTGAGTGGGGAGTAGGTGACTGAGAGTGCCCGTCCGGGAAGGAAGGGAGGGGTCCTGGAGCTCCAGGTTTTCTCCTCTTGCAGAGAGGGACCAGCCTCATGAGAATGGGCATCAGATTGCGGCCTCACTCCCCAGCAGCTTCAGGCTCAGGCCCTGAGTGTCCACTTCTACCAGGTGGATGCTGTGATTCCCAAGGCCCTGGACAGGATATGAGGTGTTTAGAGGGACCTAGGCAAATCTCAGGCCTTGTTGTGGCTGGAATGAGGCTGCAGGGCTAGGGAGACTTGCAGACATAGCCTCTATTTAGCCAGTAGGCCACAGTGAGTTCTCTTGTCCCCACCAGGTACCAACCCCAACACCATCAGGTACCTTGGTCTTGGCCAGCACAGCCTCCAGAGCCTCCTTTTGTCGTGGCTCCTTGGTCAACAGATAGAGAAAGCCCCCACCGCCTGCCCCTGCCAGGCTCTGGCCATGCACATGGGGGGCCAGGACATCCATCATATGTCGCACAGCCAGGGGCTCACAGCCTGGAGCCATGAGCTTCTTTTGCTCCCAATACGAGGTCAGGCACTGGCCTAGCAGAGGCAGGCTTCCTGGGGTGGGGGCAGAGAAGGAAGTGGCATGCCTGAGCCAAGACACTCAGCAACACCATTTGTAGACTGAGGCACTACTTAACCAGTGTCATGATTGAGAACCTGGTTCCAATGCTGGCTGGAAAGAGGAGGGATAAAGCCCACTTGGAGGACTGATGTGCATAAAGCAACTGACATGGTTCCTGGCAGTCAGAACTCAGCAAACTGTGTTCCACACGCCTGGAGCCCTGCTCAGCTCTGACTTCCCTGGAACTCAGCTATGGGGTCCCACCTGCTTCTTGGTAGGTGGGGCTGGAGGTTCTTTCCCATTATACAAGTTTTGTCCTGATACAAGGCTCCCACCTAAATGTGAAACCCTGGAGAGGACAGACAGTAGGCTTCTGTTCCCAGGGGCCTCACGGCTGGGGCCTGTGCCAAGCCTAGAAAGGCCCCTTGGCCTCTAAGACTGACAAGCAAGAAAGCACTCGCTCCTGATGCCCTGGAAGAAGCACCACACCTTGGCGGAAGGCTTCGGCACACTCCTCGGTTTGCTGCACCAGCCTGCGGGCGTTCTGCACCACAGCAGGCAGCCGGGCATACCAGTTCCTCAACACTTCCTGCAGATGCAACAGGAGAGGTGCAATGCGGATGTGGGCCCAGCTGAGCCATCTGTCTCCCCTCCTTGTTCAGGGGCTGGGAACCTGCTCACCTGCAGCAGATTCCGAGCCAGACGGGTCTTGCCAGTGTATACCAGGAGCAGGTGGTCATTGAGCTTCTGAACAAAGCCCTCAGGCACAATGATCCCTTCCACCTCCACCTTCAGTGGCAGCTGAGCCCGGGAGCGCCCCACCTTGATGCCAGGCATTAGGCCACCCACTTGGTCTTGCCAGCCACCTCCTGTGAACCCAGGGCCCTGTCACTGTTGGAGCCTATCTGGCCCCACTTCACTCTCCCAGCCCAGGCTCCTGGTCCTGCACTCCTGGCTGGGACCAGCATGGGAAGACAGCTTCCCCCAACTCCAGCTGAGACAGGTGAGCTATGCAGCTTCTGCCCCGAGACCTGGGAGGAGAACAATCCCAGCAAGGGAACGGGCTTCACTCTGGGCCAAGCTTGGAATTCTCAAGGCCTGAGTTTCATTGTAGACCTAATGTGTAATGGAATGGATATAAACAACACTGAAGGATAATAATTTTATACTGACCTCTCCCTCTCCTAGGGGAGTTTAAGCCAGGGGAGAGGTGACACAGTCCTCTCCCTGTAGCCTAACAGTCCCGCTGCACCCCGTTTTTTGATAGAATGCTTATGTTGGAAATAAGCTTTTCAGCATCTTATTTTTCTCTTCTCTAACTTGAAAGAGCTTGTTTACTTCTTTCTTTAGTACTGAAACATGGATCTTTTTTCCCCTAGAAGCTATGTAAAAATGACAAAATCTGAGCTGGGACAGGCCCTTGATATTCAGAAAAGGGCCTGCAAGGATTTAAAATATAAAATGCAAATAGCAGGAGGCATGTGAAACTTTACAGCCAAAACATGATGGTAGTGTAGCATCCAAAATGCCAGGGACTCCTTAATTGTGCCCCTCTGCCTCAGAGCCCATGACACAATTTGTAATTATACATTCATTTGAGTGGCTACTGATCAATGTCCATCTTCAATAGACCATATGACTTTTGAGGGCAAGGACCCTGGTTTTGCTCATTTTATCCCCAGGGCCCAACACAGAGTGAATTCTCAATAAATAGTTGTCAGTTGACCAAATGAAGAACTTGAATGGTACACCTCAAAAGAAAACTAAAAAAGCTTTCCCCATCTGCCCCTTTTGCTAATGCTACCTATCATGGGATATGAGTAATTACAATGAAAGGAGGGGGCTGGGCTGGAAAGTTACAGGAAAAGACACCATAATCAGGCATCTGTACATCTCTGCAGCAGTTTCCTTCCAGAGTTGTGCATGGATTCCAGGGAGCCACAGTGGCCAGGAGGAGAGAGAAACCTAGCGCTAGTAACATTCCATTTGATCATAGCCATTGCTGGGCCCTCACCACCCCAACCATATGGCCAGGGAGGGAGTGAAGGCACAGACGATCATAGCCCAGGGGAGGGGCAAGTCACCAGAAGGGCAGGCCGAAGGTCCAAACCAGCTCTGCCCAGCCCTGTGCAAGGGACAGCCCTGCATGGGGGCAGAATCATGAAGATCAGCATCGGGTACCCACAGGTACCTAACAAACATGAAAGGTACAGCACAGAATCTGTAGGTGCTCATAAAACATCAGCTCTGGGCCAGCCCGGTGGCGCACTGGAGAGTGCACCACTTGGGAGCAAGGCGGCACTCCCGCCGAGGGTTCGGATCCCATGTGGAGACCGGTTCCCGCTCACTGTCTGAGCACGGTGCGGGCGCAACACTGAGGGTTGCAATCCCGTTGCCGGTCCCCAGTACAGGCGCGACACCGAGGGTTGCGATCCCGTTACCGGTCAGTAAAAAAAGACAAAAAGGAAAAAAAAAAAATTAGGGCCGGCCCGTGGCTCACTCGGGAGAGTGCGGTGTTGATAACACCAAGGCCCCAGGTTCGGATCCCATATAGGGATGGCCGGTTTGCTCACTGGCTGAGCGTGGTGCTGACAACACCAAGTTAAGGGTTAAGATCCCCTTACCGGTCATCTTTAAAAAAATAAATAAATAAAAATAATAAAACATCAGCTCCTTTAAGATAGAACATTTCAAGTTGAAAATCACCAGAGGTCAAAGCAAGAAGAAGGAAACTATAACCATTTTATCAGCTCCGCACTCTACCGAGTGAGCCACAGGCCGGCCCAACTATAACCATTTTAAAGAGCAGCACAGTTATGTGGCTGTTGGCCAATCCCATGCAAATCCAGGGTATCCCCCACAGGCCCCTGCCCTGGGGCAGTCCCATACCTGTGGTGAGCACCTGCTCCAGGTGCAAAACTGCGTGGATCAGGGCTTCTGTGCCCACCACCCAGCCCGCAGCCCGTTGCAAGGCGGCCAGGGCGGCACCTGCCAGGATGCTGCTGGTGCCTGCAGGGTGTGGAGGAGGAATACCAGGCATGAAATGCCTCTGCCCAGCCCTGTCCCACTCCCTGTTCCACCCCCTGGGGAGGGGGATCGCAGGCAAAGCTGGAGAGCTGTGACATTAGGTAGATAGCAGGGGACAGGGCCTACTCACCAAGGCCAGAACCATGAGGCAATTCAGACCAGGTGTGCAGCTCAAAACCGCCCCCAAAGGTGCACAGCAGCTGCTCACTCAGCAGGAGTTTGGAGCGGATATCCACGATCCCAGCACAGATGAAGGCCGCCTTCAGCAGGGCCCCTGCAAGGGGACAGGCACACAGCAAGGAATTTGATCTCCAAGGACATCAGACATTCCCCTGCCCCATTTCCCAGCCCAGTGAGGGACTGATCATTTGGGACAAAAGCCCAGCAGCAGTGCAGGCCCCATCCCCAAGCCACAAAAGGGCCTCTGGGCTTCCAACATGGGCAAATGTGTCATCTCTACTTCCTCTGCCTACATGTGCCTAGGCAGGGTGACTTCTGGCCCTCTCTTTCCCTCAGGGCTCCTCAACCAGACAGGTAGCCCTCAGGCCAGGCCCCAGTGAAGTCCTCAGTGGAGGGCTCTCTGTTCTGCCCCCATATTCCAGCTGGTTGTGTGTGCCATCCTCCCTGCAGATATCCTGGGGTGCTCTGACCTGGGGCATGGGGCTGGCAGTAGTCCTGCAGGTCCTCCAGGCTCCGGCACACTATCTTTGTGGCCATCTCATCCTGCCGAGGCCCTATCGCCAGCCCTGCAGATATCCTGGGGTGCTCTGACCTGGGGCATGGGGCTGGCAGTAGTCCTGCATGTCCTCCAGGCTCCGGCACACTATCTTTGTGGCCATCTCATCCTGCCGAGGCCCTATCGCCAGCCACAGCTCAGGCTCCAGGAGGCGGCGTGCTCTGGCCCCGATGGGCCGGCGGCCATCCACTCGCACAGCCAGACCCAGCACAGCCCCACCAAGCTCATAGGCAAGGGGTGGTGTGTCACTCCAGCCCCCTGTAGCAGTTCAGCAAAAACAAGCAGGTCACAGGGGCTGCCAGCCTGGCTCCAGGGCAGCTACCCTCACCTCTGCTCCCATGAGGGGCTCACCCGAGAAATCCACACGGGCCGGGCAATCAGCTACTACCCACTGCCCAGGCGCTGGCAGCTCCACCCGCTCCATGGACACAAAGTTTTGCGCTGACATTACAGCCTGGCGGATCAGGATCTGCCCAGCCCCCTCATAGTGGCGGGCAGCTCGCACTAGCAAGGCTGGCCTGCCAAGAGGAAAGGGAAAGATGGCAGCATGCAGCTCTAAGGTGGAGGCAGATTGCCTAGGTTTGGGGACCTGACTGCCCTGGGTGACCCCACCATCAGGGACCACTTCCCTGGATAGCTGGGGGCTTCTCAAAGGAATCTGACTTCTATTAGCACCCACCTGCTCAGCCACTTGTCCCTCTCCTGGGCGAGCGCCTCCACACCTCTCGTCAGATCTCCACACTCCAGGTACATGAAGGGCCGCGTCCACTCTGGGTTGGCAGCTGGCCCACTCCGTAAGCCTCCATGGCCCTCTGCCATGCAGCCCAGCACATCCGCCACACAGGCCAGTGCTCGTGCTGCCACACCAGGGTCCCCTGCCCTAGCTGCAACTGAGGGACCAGGAGTAGGAGTGGCAGGAGAGGGGGCCTGCCCCCAACACCCTCTGCCCCAGAGACTACTCAACAGTCCCCAAACACTCCAGACCACACATGCCTCCTGGCTTTTGCCCAAGCTTACCATGCCTGTAAATGCACCTCCACTCCCTCCCTGCCTGGCAAAGTTCTCATCCTTCAAGTGCAGCCCAAATGTGCCCCTTCACCACCCCAAGGATGCCTATAGTGGCTAAGAGCTCAGACTCTGGGAACAAACCACCTGGGTCCAAGTCTCAGCTCTTGTGTGTCTGTGGTAAGTGATCTAAATGAGGATAATGTCCCACAGTCCCTGGGACCACTCATGAGGTACTGCTTACAAGGCTACAGCTCTGCACCCACAAGCAGTGTGCCCAGGACTTCAGGGAGAGGTGGCCACATCTCCTAGGGGCTCTGCTGGAGCTCTGCACCCACATCCTGGCACCCAGGACAGAACATGCAGGGTTTGCCGATGCTCACAGGATCCAGAGACTTAGTACCAGGCCTCGATCTCTGACCAACTCCCCACTGACAGTATGAAGCTGTCCAGAAACCTAGAAGTAAACTCTAGCATGTCTCTCCCCAGCTTGAGAGTTTCGTGACTCCCTAGGCCCCTCAGGTTCCAGAGCAGAAGGCAGGTAGGGCAGGTGGCCCTGGCACTAATGCCTAAGCACACTCACCCTGGTCCAGTGTGGCCAGCAGGGGACCAGGACAGCCCTCGTGGACAGCGGCCCAGGTCAGTGGGCGCAGGCTGAGGTCCTGCCGGGCCTCCAGCACATGCCGCGCCTTGTACAGGGCCTGGCGGAAGAACAAGTCCCGGCGGGAAGCCAGTGTGGCAGCCCGGTCCAGGCATGGCTGCAGCTGCTCCCAGGACAGGCGCCAGGAGGCTCTCCAGGCCCGCAGGGCCTCGCCCCCTGCCTCCTGTGGGTCCAGCATCCACAGCATGTCCCGGGGCCCCGGAGCCCTCGAGGGATGGAGCACAGGAAAGAGGCGGGCAGTGAGAAGGCAGCGCTCTGCGGGGAGCGTGTCTGGGTCCCACAGGTCCCAGTCTCTAGGTGGGGAGAGGGCACATTAGCAGAAGGGACAAAGGCTCCTGCCTCCTCCCCAAGCCCTGCCTTGCCTGTCAATTCATGTGGACAGGACACACTCCTGCGGAGGTAGTACAAGTGGGCAACTCGGGGAGGGAGGCTGAGCTGCCCTGCCCCCTTTCTCAGGCCACTGAACAAAATCACAAATCTGAGAACAGCCAGAGATTTGGAGTTGCCCAGGTGGAAAGTGCTAGAGAGAATCAAACCCAAGGCCCAGTGGGACAGTAAGGGGGTCCCGGTGCTGCTGGGGCAGGGGAGGGAGGAGCCTTGAAGCAGCAGCCACCCTGGCTGCCAAGGCCCACAGACACCTGTCAAGCCATCAACCTCACCGAATGCCTGTCTTCTTGAAGAAGTCACTCCAGGACATGTTGAGATACGTGCCTGCCCCCTGTCTCTAGAGGAAGAGGAGGAAGCAGTCAGGGCTGCAGGGGTCATGGGAAGGGGTTAGGGACACAATGCCAGAGGGCCAGGAGCTGCTCAAGTGGGGATCGGCAGAGAGACAGGCACACACTGGGGCAAGTTCTGAGACACTACATTAAGCCTGGAGCCTCAGCGCTCCTGTCCAGGTGCCTGGGAGCTGGAGTAGAATTCTGGGTTCCAGGCCTGATCCACCCTAACTGGCTCTGTGGCCTGAGGTGGGTCACTGCCCTCTCTGAAACTCAGCCTATAAAATGGGGATAAAATCCCCACCCAGCCCACCTCACTGAGCAAATGCGAGGAGGGAGGGAAAGGCCTGTAGAGACTGCTAGCCAACCCTCCCACAGCCCATCCCTCAGAACCATGCTCAGAGAGCCCTGTGGTGGGGTGGGCTCCCCAAAGCTTGAAGATGAGGGTAGGGGAGGTAGGTCAGGCTCCCACCTCCCAGCTGTCCAGACGGCCAGTGAGCGTGAAGGCACGCCCCAGGGAGCCATGCAGCCGCATGTGGTGTCCCTGCAAAACGAGGTCACGCAGCTCCAGACCATGCAGTGCCTTGGACTGGGCTGTATCCAGGCCACTCACGAAGCAGCCAGAGCCAATATGGATGGGGCCCTGGTGGGGGAGAGGGCAGGAATCCTGGGTAGGCAGGCATCCAGGCACCAGCACCCCCAAGAAACGCAGGACGCTGGCCACCCTGGCCCTCCCTCTGCCCAGGCTCTCAGGCCTCACCCGCAGGTGGCAGTGCTGCAGGACACTCCCAGGATCCAGTCGGATGGGGCCTTCCAGCAGGCAGCTGATCACGGAGCTCCCAGCCCCCAGGAGCTGCAGTTCCTATGAAGCCAGGGAAGAAGGGCATGAGGGCCGGGGCCTGCCCTGATTCCCTCCATAGCATGTGGGCGTGGAGTGCCAAGGCCTGCTGTTCCCCATGCCCTTCAGCCAGCCGGATTCCTCTGCACCTGCCCTGGCCCCAGCCTGAGGCCTACTCCCATCCCACCTGGCCAGCTACCTCCACACCAGCCACCCTGGGGGCCACCTCAGAACTCTACCTGCCCTTTCCTCAGCACCATCACACCAACCCAGGGCCATCACTTCCAACATGCCTGTCTCCCCAAGCAGACCCCGCAGAATGGTCTTCTTTAGCTTCTCAATCAGGTAGACCTTGGTGTAGAATCCTGACTTGGTCACTTACTGGCCCTGTGGCCTTAGGCAACTTACTTAGTCTCTCTGAGCCACCAGCGCTTCATGTGTACAATGGAGATAACATCTACACTTGTAGGTGAACTGTTCCAAGAATGGGCTATTCCCCGCCCTGGAGCCCATACCCCACCTGACCCCAGGCACCTCTGAGGGGCAAGCAGGTCTCACCTCCACCTGGGAGTGTATAATCTGGGCCTCAGGGGCCCCAGGGAGTGTGAGGCTTTGCAGGAACTCACTGGCTGAGGAGGTCATGTAGGTGTAGCTGCCGTCAGGGACATATGCTGTAATGACACAAGTACTGACCCCAACCCCATGCCCACTGTGGCTCAGGTGCCAGCCAGGCCTCCTGCCAGCAGACATACACTCATCAGGCACTAGGGGGCAGGCATGGCAGTGAGTCCATGGGGCCAACGGGAGAGCCTAGGTCAGAGGTCAGCAACCTGCCCAAAGTCACACAGCTAGAAAGTGGGTGGACTGGGCCTGGAGCCCGAGAATGAGGAAGAGAGTTGTCTCAGTGGGAGGGCTCTGGCTCAGGAAAGGGTCACTGTTCAGAATGAGGGGACAGCCTCATTCTGGGGGTCCTCGCTCCCATGTTCTCCCCACCCGAGAGCCGAGAGGAGGTACCCACCCACAGTGAGGGGTTGATCGCGAAGCTCCCTCCACAGCTGGGCCCGGGCGCCCTGCAGGTAACCTGCTGCTCCGTCGTCACCTCCCCCCAACTCCGGGGGCTGCCCCATCAGGAAGTCCTCCTTGCTCACATTCTGAGCCATGCAGAGCAGGATGTCGAAAAACAGAGACAGCTGGGGCGAGGGTAAGACACACAGCTATTGCAGGGCAGGGGTTGGGCTCCGCAGTTCCGAGGCTGAACTGGGGCAGTCCCATCTGCACAGACTCTGACCCAGAGAGGGGAAGGGGCTGGCCTGAGGTCACACAGATCCTCTCCCCCAGTCACCTGGACAGGCCGGGCTCCAGAGTCCAAGCCCATGTAGGTGCAGGCATCCAAAGGTGGGCTCACATGGGTGGCCAGGAGGTGCTCAGCAGTCTCCACAGAGAAGAAGACAACCCCGGAGACCTGGAGGGGCCCCCAAAAGGGTCAGGTGGGGGGACCCTGGGCCAGGCCCAGGCACGAGTCAGGGAGCACACATGCAGATGGGCCAAGCGAGGCCGGGTGCCATCCAGGCAGGGACCTCCGTCTTTTGTGCCACTCCAGCACCCAAGCTTTAGGCTGGGTTCACCCAGGAACCTTCCTGGGACCACCTTCAACTTTCAGGCCTCCTCCAGAACCCAGTTCTCCATGTTCCCCATGGTCTAGTCCCAGAACTTCCCCTACCACTCCTATCCTTGCCCTTCATTCTGGAAGCATCCCCCAAGTCTGCTCCTAGACCTCTTCCCAGCTGCATTCCCTGACCTGATCACACCCTGGCCTGGGCTTTCCAGTTCAGGGCAAGAACCTGAATTGAAGGCTACCCGTTCCTCAAATTCTGGCTCCACCTGCTCCCCTGAATGCCAGTTCCAGATCTTCCTCGGATTCTGGTTCTAGTCTTCCTGGAATCTTCTAGAAGGAATGGGGCTCTACCCTGGGAAGGAAGGCAAACCCTCCCTCCTTGTCCCATAAGGTCCCCAACCCAGGCCCAGCAGCTTACCAGTGGCACGTGCCCATCAGGCCCGACACATCGTCGTATCTCTGCCTCAGTGCCCTGGTAGTAAATGTCCAAAACTAAGCCCTGTTGGGGGAAGAACAGGGTTAGGGAAGAGAGCAAGAGAACCCAGAGGACACAGCTGCAGGTGTCTGCAAGCATGTTCTCCAAATGAAAACTTGGGATGCAAACTTAGGACACAAGTCTGCAGGTCCCTGCATCCTCATGGGGACACAAGTGCCTGAGATCGCTCCGTGATGGTAAAGGCAGGCTTTGAACGTCTTTGCAGCCTCCGTTCAAGTGCAGAGCCTGGGAGGCAGTCAATGTGAAATGAATTTGTGACAAAACAGTGAGCATCAGAGCTGTTGCCACAGAGGAAACACCTGAGACCCAAGACCATGCTAAGAACCCAGGAAGAGAGGTTGCCTAGAGCCCAGGACTAGAAGGCCACCTGCCCCAGGCCGGCTCAGCTGCCCCAGGAGCACTACCTGGGAGTCAGTGAGGTAGACGCCGTGATTCAGAGCATAGGCCGGGCTCCCTGGAAGGGCGACCACTCTGGCTCCCCGGAAGCCATCCCAGCTGATCCCTGTGGGATAGGGCAGTCAGGAGGCTCCCAGGGGCCCCAACCCAAGCCACAGAGTCCCCAGCCAAGAGGACGCAAGAGCCCAAGGCTGGGGCAACTGGGTACCTCTGAAAGAGAAATAGGGTTTCCAAACCCAAATGGACATCTCTCTGGAAGAAGGACAACCCCTCCTCTCCCAAAGTTCTCCCGCAAAGCCCTGAGGGACAAAAGGGGCAGTGTTGGTAATGTCCATTCTACAGACAGGCAGACTGAGGCCCAGCAGGGGACATATGCCATAAAGACACAAGTACTGCCTCTTGGTCTGTGCTTCATCCTCCACGCCCTACAGCTTCCCTTCTGAATAGGGCAGTGGGGAAGCCCAGAGACGGGGCCTAGAAAAGCAGGGTCGGCTTCTAGCTGTGGTGAGGGAAGGTGCTCCCAGGCTGTCTCAGGCTCACCGGGATTTGGAGGAACAGACAACAGCATGTCGGTGCTGCAGACCCACACACCTGGTGGGGAGCCCAGGCCCAACTGCAAGGGGAGAAAGAGAGAATGATCTGGAGGCCTGGCCCTGCCTCTGCTCCCACACAGCCCAGTCTTGGCCTGCAGGGACTCTGCTGCTGAAGTAACAGGGGACTCCCAAGACCTGACCTGGGGCCACATACACACCTTCCCCTGATGTGACCAATGCTAATGTCTTGGAGCTCTAACTAACTCTAGGCACCCCCAAAACCCATACTTCCTGGGGTCCCCCATCTGAGCCAGCACAGACTATAGCTGGTGGTGCAGGGGGAGAGAAGTTGCTCTGTGTGGGACGAGGCCTCACGGGCCACCACCCGGCCTCACCCGATGGGTCATGATATCCAGCAAGCAGTCCAGGTTGCAGACCGAGGCCTCCACTGGGGCCTGGGGGGTCTCCACAGGGAGGCAGGTGAAGGCCCGGCCACAGTCATCGAAGGGGAAGTCTCGGCCCTGGAGTGGGAGCAGGGACTGGTCAGAGAGTCCTTGGGGCAGAGAGCCTGGGGACACCTCACCAGTTCTGCAAGGGTGAAAGCCATCAAGTACAGGACTTATAAAAAGTGTCTTCATTAACATAATTATCGTAAAAAATTAGAAAATGCAGATATGTAAAAAGAAAAACAATCCCTCGAAGATACTATTGCCCTCATTTTGAAGTATGTCCTATCAGACTTTTATTTGACATTCTTTAATTTTTTTTTTTTTTTACAAAAATGAAATCATTCTGAAAAGGTGGAGACAACAGAACTTAACACGTGCACGCACACACACACTCAAATGAGTACAAGTAAAACTGGAGAAATAAGGCTGGTGATTATACCAATGTCACTATCCTGGCTCTGATATTGTACTATACTTTTGAAAAACGTTACCATTGGAGGAATCTGGGCAAAGGCCCCAAAGGATTCTCTATTACTTCTTGCATGTGGATCTACAATTATCTCAATTACAATTCCGATTAAAAAACTGAGATCATTCTATACAAACTTCTGTAGTTGGTCTTTTTCACTTAACAGTGAAAATACATTCACTCAGGACTTAGAATGAGTCGGGGCTGTTTTAAGCATTTAGATGGATCATCTCAGCACATCCACATCCACATCAAGTAAGAACTGTTCCCATACCCATTTTACAGATGAGGAAACTGAGGCCTAGCCAGGGTCAACTGACTTGCCCAAGGTTACAGAGCTGCGAAGTCTTGTTCCAGGTCAATGCACAGATTTAGATGGACCTTTTAATCCATCTAATAATCCAACTGTAAGAAATGCTGTATATATTTAGCCAGTTTCCAATTTTTGGACAGTTGGATTGATTCTGATTCTTCTGGATTTGCACAATGAACACCTTCCACACACAAACTGGTAGAACACCCCCAAAGTCCCGCCCAACCCTGAGAATTGGGGTTCCAGCCTTCCGCATGGCTCCTGCCCTGAGTTCCACTTACCAAGTGCAGAATGAGGATCCAGGCCGAGTGCAGGACATCAGATGTGACCACCTGTCAGAAGCAGGACAGCTCTGTTGACAGAGGCCTCAGGCAGATGGTACCCAGATGATGTCACTCTCTTGTCCAGGGAGAGACCCCAACAAAAATCCACTCAGGTACCAAAGGGACAAGGGGGCAAGGTCAAGAAGGGGCAGCCCTGGCTCCTCCTGGATCAGACAGCCCAGCAGCCCCCAACCTGGGACACCTCTCTGCTCCTTGTTTTGAGCAGAGGCTGCAGGCAACAACTCGGGCTGGCTGCGTGACTGGGGGAAGATGGCTCCATGGCAACCACACAGTGTCCCCTCCCCTGCCAGTGCCAGCTCCATCACCAGAGCACGTCCATGCCTGCGACACCCTCACTCTCTATGCCTAGGTGCTACACAGGCAAGGGGACTGAGTGAAGTGGCTGGCGTGCATAGAACATGGGCCCAGTGGGTACACTAACTCACACACCCTGCCCAAGAGGGTGGCTGCATCTCAGTCCAGTGAACGGATGCCATGTGGGAAGGACAGCACAGTATAGCAAGATCTTCGAACTTTTCAAGAGAAGTCAGAAAGCCTCACTTTCCAATAATTGGCTCCGAGTTTCTAAAAACAATACAAAAGCTGGCCCTGCCTTCTGCCCTCACCTGGATGGCAAGGCAGAGATGCATCTGCTCAATCTGCAGATATAAAAACTGAAGCCAAATGCTGAACTGGCCAGGGTAATGGAGCCAGAAGAACTGGGGATCCTGGAAACTATCTAGTTCTGACAGGGACATAGGCCAGGGGGGTGGCCCTTCTGAGCACTCACAGTGAAGCCTGCCCGGGCACTCAGGTGTTCAGCAGCCACCAGCAGGGCATTGAGGGTGGCTCCTCCGCTGCCCACACGCGTCTCAGGGTCCTCCACAGCCAGTAACAGTGTCCCGGTGGGGATCTGCTCACGCTTCTGCCGCACTTCCAGCTCTGTGGTCAGAGCATATGCTGGCACCTGCCCCAGCCTCCCTGCCCTGGTTGAAAGCACCTGAGCAAGCCTACCGAGAGTCATTCTTTTATCTTCTTCAACTTGGAAGCTTTTCAAGTAGTAAGTGGATCTTTATCCAACTCTGTGAGGTAAGTACTATTATTCCCATCTTACAGATGAGAAAACTGAGGTGCAAGGAAATGACATGACGTGTGTGAGGTCATACGGCCAGGAAGAAGTGGGATCTGGGTTTGAACCCAGGTCTACCTGGCTAGGGATATAGCAGGGGGTGAGGAGATGGGGGTTGTTCCTACATTAGGGCCAAGGGGGTGAGGGGGAATCACCTACCTCTCTGAAAGACCTGGACACAGTCCTTGTACTGGCATGTCAGGATGATGACTGTCCAGTCAACACCCTTCAGCTGTTCCATTCTGGCCAAGTAGAGGGGCTTCCTGAGGCAGCAATATGGGTGTGTGTGAATATTTTTTAAATTATCACATACTAAAATTTATTCCGTTGTTTTTTTGTTTGTTTGTTTTGGTTTGGTTTTTTTGGTGGCTGGTCAGTACAGGGATCTGAACCCTTCACCAAGTAAGCTAACGAGCCAGCTCCTATCATTTTCTTTTTCTTTCTTTTTTTGGTGATTCCTTTTCATATACAGTTCTATGATTTCTAACACATGAATAGATTCTTGTGGCCCCCACCACTATCTGCACCCCAAAAAACCTCCCTCATACTATCCCTCCTCCACCTCTAACCCCTGACAATCACTGATCTGTTCCCCATAGCTATAGTTTTGTCTTTTCAAAAATGTCAAATAGGGCCGGCCCGTGGCTCACTCGGTAGAGTGCGGTGCTGATAACACCAAGGCCGCGGGTTCGGATCCTATATAGGGATGGCTGGTCGGCTCACTTGGGAGAGCGTGGTGCTGACAACACCAAGCCAAGGGTTGAGATCTCCTAACCCTTGACTTGGTGTTGTCAGCACCACGCTCAGCCAGTGAGCAAACCGGCCATCCCTATATAGGGATCTGAACCCGGTATCTTGGTGCCATCAGTACCCCACTGTCCCAAATGAGCCATGGGCTGGCCTTTATTTGACTTTTTTTTTTTTTTTAAAAGATGACCGGTAAGGGGATCTCAACCCTTGGCTTGGTGTTGTCAGCACCACGCTCAGCCAGTGAGCAAACCGGCCATCCCTATATAGGGATCTGAACCCGGTATCTTGGTGCCATCAGTACCCCACTGTCCCAAATGAGCCATGGGCTGGCCTTTATTTGACTTTTTTTTTTTTTTTAAAAGATGACCGGTAAGGGGATCTCAACCCTTGGCTTGGTGTTGTCAGCACCACGCTCAGCCAGTGAGCAAACCGGCCATCCCTATATAGGGATGGCTGGTTGGCTCACTTGGGAGAGCGTGGTGCTGACAACACCAAGTCAAGGGTTAGGATCTCCTTATCAGTCATCTTTAAAAAAAAAAAAAAAAGTCAAGTAAGGCTGGCCAGTTAGCTCACTTGGTTAGAGCGTGGTGCTAATAACACCAAGGTCCAGGATTTGATCCCTGTACCAACCAGCTTCCAAAAACAAAACAAAGTCAAATAAATGGAATATAATCTTTTGAGATCAGCTCTTTTCATCCAACATAATGCCTCTGAGATTCATTCAAATTGTTGCACGTTTCAATAGCCTAATTTTTTTTTTCATCAAGTAGTATGTGTAAGGATACCATGGGCACTCAAGCGGAGGGGGAGGGGGAAAGCATTCCCTAGCAATATGGCGCGCTTCCGGGTTCTTCTCAGCAGTAGAAGCCCGCCGGCGCCAGACCTCAACCAGTCACAAGTCAAGGCTCACCTCCTGCCCAGCCCCGTCCAATCAGCTACTGCCCGTCCACCCCTTATCAAAACCCGAAACGCAGCTCCCTATAAATATACACACAGTCCTTGAATAAAGTGGAACTTCTCTGGCGAACTGTCAGCTCGGGTCCTGTCGTCTTATCAGCTCGGGTCCGTGTGCCCTTTCATTGGTGCCGAAACCCAGGAGGAGTTTACCCTGCGCCAGGGGACTCCTTCCTCGGACTTCCTCGGACCCCTCCACGAACCCCCCCCCCGGGAATGATGGTCCGCCCTTGTCCATTTTCTCCGACGCTGGCTTCCTTCATCCACCACCGGCTCATCCGTTAGGTAAGCCCCTTTTTTCCTTTTGTCAGGCTTGTAGATTATTTAAACCTTCACCCTAATCACATTCCCCCAGCCCAGCATTGACACGTTCCCGGCCCCGGAGGCTGAACCTCGCATTCCTCTCTCTCTCTCTCTCTCTCTCACTCCTCTCCAACCTTTCTCCTACCAGGTCCTGGACCCCCGCCGTCCGTCAAAACCCTAGCACGCTAGGTCCTTCCGGCTCCAGGCATCTTTGCCTCCGGGAAGTGAGGGTCTAGGTGACGACCTACACCCCCTTCCTTCCTGGGTTCATCCTTGAACCCATCTCCTGGGAACGGCATGACTCATTGGGGATGCCCTCTGAGTTCTGTCCTTCTCATCCAGCTGGAGGGCTCGTTCCAATCCTCCTTTTAAACCCTCTCTCTCTCTCTAATCCTCTTCGGAATGGGAGCTTCTGCCTCCTCCCGCCGGGGTGATTCACCCTTACAATGTCTCTTAAACAACCTCACCACCCTATCCCTCAAGCCTGACATTAA